ATCTGACAAGGTTCACAAGGGCCCTTCAGCCACAGCCAGGGCTGTGGGAAAGGCCGAGAGGCTGGATGTTTTTCCACTTGCCTCGACCTTGAAGGTGTCCTTTGCAGTCTAGAGTGCAGCCGGGTGAGTGGGAAAACAGGCTTGCCCTTCCTTACTAACCTGTTTCCTTAGATCTACCAGCTACGACTACTTTAGCTCGCGAGTCCTTCTTCTTCCCAGTGGAAAGGCTGCAACCTCCCAAGGCTACATTCTTTGGAGACTTGGGAGAGTACAGCTGGCTTGGGGCGGCCTCTAGATGTTGTATATTTCTAGCCACTACTCTGTGCAGGAACCGTGTTACCTGAGATCAACAACTGCCTCTGGTCAGCCAGCTGCGGCCTCAGACATGCCCACAAGTGGTGCCATCTTCCCTTCACAGGGAACTGGGCACAGGGAGCACCAAGGGAGACTCTCAACGTAGGCGGACCCCGGGGAAGACAGAGGGCACATGACGCCCACGTTTTCTTGCTCTGATCTGAGTCGGGAGGCCTCTTCTTTTCAACCAATGGCATCTCCCCCAACAGCCAAGGACAAACCACTGTTGCTGAGGACTTCCCTGGGAAAACGAGTGTTCTCGGCCAGCACGTCGAGGCAAACACTGGAGCAGAGCAGGCCACCATGCAGACCTTCCGATGAGGGACCACCACACAATGAGGGGCTGATCCTGCGACGTGAGGCATGCCCCGTTTGAGAGCTCAGTGAAGCTTGCAGAAGCACCTGGAGGTCAACGGTGGGGCTCTCGGGGAAAGCCATCACAGGACCAAGCTCCACAGGCCCTCCCTGGACGACCACGGGGTAGTTCTTTTAACAGCTCAAGAGACCTGCTGAGGACGGCAGGACATTATTTAAGAAGTGATCTTAGAAAACATCTTTTGTTCCCAGAATTAGCTGTCAAATATATTTTTTTCTAGCTTTTATGGCTCTCTGTTTGAGCGACACACTCAACAGCTGGAGATGAGGTGCCCCTGTAGACTGACTTCCCATCCCGTCTGTCTTCCTTCCTGGCTGAAGCAGACTTGGTCCGTCAAGACGGCTGCCTCCTGGTGCTGGGACTCCTTTCCAGGCCAAGGAAGGCAAACGAGCCCCGCCCACATCCCACCCTGCAGAGGGAAGCAAAGCAGGAGGCGCTGGGAGGGTCCGAGTTGCACCAGAATTCTCCTCACCACGTCCGTCCTCGTGCACGCTTCCTTTAAAATTCTGCCCGTGGGGCACGCCTCCCCCAGAGCAGACCTGTGCAGCCACAGCCCGTGATGCGGGCGCGAGGAGGGCAGGGCTGCACGGCCCGGACCGCGCTCCGGAGGCGGGCCTCCACCAGCTCCCGGCACGCAGGTCCCCGTAAGCACAGCATCAGATTCAGCGAGGGCTCAGAAACTCTGACCAGCAGATGAGACCTGCTGTGAACACAATGGAACACAGAAGCAACACACACAATAGCTAAAAATAGACGATTCCCTCCTTCCTTCCTTCTCTGCGTGTGGGTGGGACTGCACAGGGCCACCCACACGGGGGGGGGGG